TGATGTACTGTTACTCACAGATATATCTGAGATATTGTTTAAAATAAACTGTTTAAAATAATATGGCTTGGATCCGGCATGGTACTATTCCAGTCTAAGACTCTCGTGGGATGCATTGTTGAAGAAGCCTGATGTGGAACAAAAGTTACTTTGTTAAGAGGTGGTATATCACTGGCAGCGACAAGGTATTCTAATGCCAATAATAAATGACTGAAAGGCTATGATTCGAGTAAACCTACTACACACATATTACATCTCTACGCCAACAATTTGTACTGGTGGGCTATGAGTCAACCTTTACCCATGGGCGGCTTTGAATACGTAAACAATATCAATGTGAATAATATTCCCAAAGATTTTGATAAAGGGTACATACTAGAAGTTGACTTAGAATATCCAACAGAGTTACAAAAACACAATAACAGTTATCCGCTAGCTCCCGAAAGATTAATGGTCAAAGAGATTGGATGTCCGAATATCAACATAACTTGATGGGCAATATTAAGTTAGCTAACGTACAAAAACCCGTACCAAATTTGATGGATAAGACAAAAAAAATGGCCCACTATAGAAATATCCAGTTATATCTGTCATTAGGCATGAAACTAAAGAAAAAACAAAAATAATATAGAAAAGGCTCGCCTTCATTCATAACCAATCAACTAATGTTCTATCTCTTAAGAGACCAAATCAGATCAGTTGCATGATGTTGGCCTCCTTCGAGTTCACTGGGCTTGTATAAATATCTTACGCTTACTCCATCCGGAAGCTTTTGTTCTTTGCCTCTCCTCGGTGCTGAAGATTCGGAAGTCACAGAGTTCTTAAGTTTGATCAAAGTCCTTGAAAAGAGCCATATATAAGGCTGAACACATATTTTAGAAAGATAGGTACCAGCGATCAGTATTTGGTAACACTATGGAGAATCTGAGGTAGCGTGTTGATGTTAAGTTGGTCAGATCTAATGAGGAAGAAAGTCTTAGGTCTTCGGTAATATGAAGGATGAATGTGCTGGAACTCCTTTTGCCGAGCATGTTGGATTAAGATCTAAGAAGTATTCTATAAAAAAAAGTCTGATAAAGAGGAAATAAGAAAAGCTAAAGGAGTTCAGAAGTATGTGGTAAAAGTAGCATATCAAACACGAACAGTATAAAGAGGCATTATTCGACGGTAGAATAGAGGATGAATACTTTAAGAAGCAAAAAGAACAGGATATATGGGTTAAGAATAATCATTACCCCCCTTAGATACAATGCGATGGATTGATAAGGAATGTGTAACTATAGGTATCACTTAGGGAGGTAATACTGTATGGCTTGGAACAATGAGCAACTCTTCTCGTACAAATTCCCTGCCCGACCCATCTTTAACATAATATAGAAAAGGCCCGCCTTCTTTCATAACCAACCGACTAATGTTATATATCTTAAGAGACCAAATCGGATCGGTTGCACAACTTTGGCCTCCTTCAAGTTCACCGGGCTGGTATAAATAGCTTAGGCTTACTCTATCGGGAAGTTTTTGTTCTTTGCTACCCCGCAGTGCTGATGATTCGTTTTAATGGCATCGGATGTTTTTTCCCAATTAATACTGTTACTTCATTATTTAGCCTTGTTACAACAGCTGATAATCGTGTTACCCATTCAGTTGATCTTAATCGACCTGACTTCATTTCACTCCCATACTGATATCCAAACAAGTGTTCTGATAATGTCCGGTTAAATCTTTCAACAATAGCTTGGCTACTTTTTCACTTCGCCCGATTGCAACATCGTGCTTTGTTTATATACTTAACAACAAAAGTTCCTGTGACATTTAATAAGATTTAATGCAAAGTTATGTTTTATACCAAATCTGAAACAATTTCGGTTTGCAACAGATAATAGACTCCTGTAAGTGTTCAAATGGTTTAATTTGCCATACTGACTTCAGCAAATGCGTGATTTCATAAAAAAAACATGAACATGCCAAAATGTCAATTGACAAATCAATAGCATGTGTGTCCACCTCTGGTTGCAATGCAAGCAACACATCTTCGTCTCATGAAATGGACCAGGCGTCGCACAAAGTCCTGTCCATATCTTCTGGAGCATGTTTCAAAGTTCCCTCGAGTGTCTGTGGAACACGTGGTTGACGTCGAAGGTACCGTTCCATCTTATCCCACATGTGCTCGATTGGTGAGAGATCAGGGGAGCGAGCCGGCCAGGGGATGACATTCACGTTGTTTTGTTGAAGAGAATCCTGAACAAGTAGAGCAATATTTGGCCGGGCGTTGTCATGTTTAAAGGTAATGCCTGGGCCATGATGATGCAAAAACGGTAGAACAACAGGGCCGATGATCTCGTCACGGTAGCGCTGTCCATTGAGATTCCCCTCTACCACTGTCAAACGGGTCCTCTGTCTTGCTGTAATCCCTACCCATACCATAACATTGCCGCCCCCGAACCGATCTTCTTCCATGACTTAATGATTGACGTAACGTTCACATCAACGTCAGTACACTCGAATCCGTCCATCGGTGTGGCTGTGGTGAAAACGAGACTCGTCAGTGAATAGAACTTGTCCCCACTGCACGGCCGTCCAGTGTAGATGCTTTCTGCACCACTGTAGACGTGCTTGATGGTGGTTTCCTGTCAAAATGGGACGTCTGGCGGGTCTTCTGCCGACATCTGAGGTGGCGACGTTCGGTTTGTGAAGATTTTCGTCGAAGGCCAGGGATGCTTTATGCAGTAACTGTTGCTGTCTGGAATCAATTTCGTAGGTGTGTTGGTCGAATGCAGTTTTCTTGTTGATGATTGGTTACGCATGGCCTGCCACTCCGAGGATGGTCTCTGACTGCATTCGTCTGTTGCCAACGTGGCCATAAACACCAAATGGTGTTTCTGTGGACGTTAAATTGCCTTGCAACATCACGTTGACTCGATCCTGCTTCAAGCATACCAATGGCTCGCAGACGCTCACTTTCGGACAGGCGTGGCATTTCGTAATGTTGAATAATTGCGTAATTTTGTTGTTTTTCTGAGTTGTTGTTGTCAGCACGATGCTAAACAATGAATATGTAATCCCGTTAACGCACGTTTTTATACCAATACTTTAGTAGTGAAATGCATGGGGCTTGCATAAAAGTCAACTTTTGCATGGAATGCATGCTTTTCTGATTCCTACATGTCCTACAATATTGAAAACCAAACTATACTTGTTTGAAAAAAACAATAAAATATTGGTGTCACAGGAACTTTTGTTGTTGAGTATAGTTTAGTTACTGATCCAATAAACTCGTGACCAGGATCTACTTGAAATAACTCAGGCCATTTTAGTGGTCCATGTTTATTTATGCGGCCCTGTGCATAAGCTACTTCGGTTGAATCTTATGATGCCAATGGTTCAGCCTCATTGTACCGACTAGCTACATCTACTACGGTTAAAGCATATTTATATGTTTTTCGTCTTACCTTATCATGAAAACAATAAGAGGCCAGCCTGATGAACTTCATTCGTTATAAAAATATCTAACCTTTTCCTTGGTATATAACGCATATTGCTTGTTTCTTTAACCAATCCTTGGCAACATCTTTAGATACTTTAGCTGCTGCGGCTAGTTTTTGTATTGCTGCCATACCTTTTCAATATCCTCGCTAGCTATATTAAATTTTATCAAATATTAGTTAATATTGATGTATCTTTAATAGTTCCATTTAGATAAATATTTATATAAGTGTGTTTCAATGGACAATTACAAGCAAACAAAAAAGAACTTGAAAAAGTTCTCGAAGCATTTATGCTCCGGGATAAAATTATCAAATGGCGAGAATTACCACAATGTGTATATTTTATCATTGATAACAAGCCATCCAAATATGCTTATCAGTGGTTTCTTTCCAATTGTGAAGACGAGAAAGGTCCCGTAGTAAAATCAACAAAGAACTAAATAAAAATGTTGAATAAAACTATGTCCAAAATAATGGTATGCTTATGAGTAAAAATAATAATAGAGAATATTTTGGATACATATGGATAGTCATCATATAATTCACATAAACTTAAGACCCCCATAGAAGCATTGATAGGGTCCGGGAATGGTTCAGGTGGTGGTGAGCCAGGATCGCCATCATGTATACTACTGCTTCAAATAAAATTGTGTCGCCCAGTGTAGATGATCTGATCAGTAGTCAAAATCTATTGTGTAACGAAACGGGTATTACTTCACGAAGTGCATCAAATCACGTGAGAACCTTCATTAAAAACATGAAAAGATTTGGAAAATATCTCTGGTCGCTAAGTTGTCAGCTCACATGCTTTGCAAAGTTTGCAAACGGCCGAAATATGCACGGCAGTTTACGAAAGGGATGTTGATTTTGCTACGCGATTTTGATTGGACTATGCATGGTCGACTACATTATGATATTACTGTGATCACTGCATACGGTTTTAGGCAAGTGTCCTGTTGATACGAGAAAGGGGAACCCCGGGTCAATGTTGCAAGCAACATCAGAAACTAATGAGTGAGTTTACTTCGATTGCAAAAATATCACGGCGGGAGACTCCAGCAATAGGCTTCACATAATGTACCCAAGTGTGGAATCAATATGGGCCTTCGGGGTGACGAGCGAACGCTTTAACCGCTAGGCTGCACCACTGCCCATATAAGAAACTGTATCCTTTTTTTCTGGCATTATTTATAAATTGGTCATCTTCTGAAAAAATAAGTTGTTAGTGTCGGCAAATAATTTATAGTTGCAGTTTGATGTTAGTTTGCGTATCTCTTGGTAATATTTCACTGTGAAATTTTCTATATGTTAGCCGTTCCTGAGCCTTGCCCTTTCCTAACAAGTTTGAGTTATCACCATTATCATTGCGTTGTGTAAAGAGAAAGGCAGGCAACAGTTTCCATCAGGTGCGACATATTAGATCAAGAACGTGCTATAAACAATCCGCGCACGCATGAAAAAGCAAAATTGAATAAGGAATTATTCAATCCGGATGCGTGGGATTAAGCACTTCCGCTAGGAGCCCAGCCTGTAATCATAAAGGCGAGAGCTGTCCAATGAAAGCTGAGAAATAGAAACACTGGCAGACGCAAGGTCATTCAAGAAAAGGGTGGGGCATTCTCTTGCAGTAAATTCCGATGTCAAATAACGGTGTACTTAGGACGGAAGACCGATAGTACGAATGTGTCCAGGAGAAGTTGTATATTCGTCCATATACGGAAAAACGTTTTTGCGTTTGCAGTGTAATATTAACTATAACCTGATATTGAATATCGATCAAAAGCTCTCGAGCAAAGTGATCAAACATACACGTTGTTGTTAACAGACCCGTGAAGATCCGGGGTAGAATAGGTGTTCAGCAACCCATGCCTGTCGTAAAAGGCGACTATGTTTGTCGTAAGAAGTGACTAAAGGGATCTGGTGGTCAGACTCGCTGACTTGGTTGCTGCATGTCATCGATCCCAATAATCTCGATCGATGCTCATGATATTAATGACTGGATTGTCTGGTCCAGACTCGATTATTGACAAACAGCCGTCATATAACTGGAATATTGCTGAGTGCGACGCTAAACAACAAACCAACCAACCAATGTTGTTAACATCACATTGTTATACCTGATTGCTACTAAATCTGCAAATGCGAGCATCCTCTGGTTCATCTGGGCCAGGAAGATAGGTGTGACAGCCTGAATAATGGCCAAACCATCCATATTAATTGTTGCTCCTATAGGCAACACGAACCGACAGATGGTCTTGTTGAATTTCAGCTTCTCTTCACAGCAGCGTAGAGTAACAGGCAGGGCCGCTGCGCTAAAACAGAATATGAACACACTTAACGACACTATCATGTGTCTGTGCCTTATATCTCATTGCATGTCAGATTATGACCTCAGTATTTCATGGTTGTCACAAGAAAAAAATAAGATGTTAATTCTCATCATGAGGGTAGTAAGCCCAAATGATACAGTTCATACATTTACCACACCGAGAGTCTCGGTATTGTGTGTATGGCGGGTGCTTCCGGTAGGACCCGACATACTTACCTTTTTGGCAAACGCCTGGTGTCATCACTGATTCCCAGTGGTCCTTACATATAGTTTCACAGCTAATTTGGCCTGTGGGCATTATAGAATCTAGAATTCCTCTGCATTTAAAATTGATATGGATCGTGTGGACAAAACAGTGCGCCCTCAGGCTACAGTTAGGTTGTCTAGAGGAATGAAAGCTAAGGACATTCAGTTAATCCCGTCCAAGTCCTAGACATGCAATCATGCTCTTGGCACAAACCATATAACATCAAATTTCAAGATAATAAAGTGAACAGTTTTTTCGAAGCCATGACTGGGCACCACAATGATAGGATGGATACGTTATCAATACACCACAGTTTCAATATCAGCAACAAAAGTTAAAATCAAATCCTAATCAAAGTCGGCGAGGCATAATGTAGATGATGACAAGGATTCCCACTACCCTACAACAAACAATGTTCGAACCTGGAACTTGTACCCAGGCCAGTCAGAAGAGACTCCACCATGCCCAGGGACACACGGAAAGGATTTCTCCTGGTCAGTGTGAAGTAGATTGTTGGCAGCACGATCAGTGCATGGATGGCTAAACCAAGGAGACCAGTGACCATGTACATCGTCAGTGACTTAGCTGCTGCTTCTAAGTCCGGTACTTCAAGAATTTTGTTCATAATGATGAAAAATATACCAATAGGATTGTACCTGAAAGACATAACAACATACAGTTTGTAAGCCGAGTGAGACAAGGTCTTTGTGCCACGTGGATGAGGCTACGTTCATTATTCATCCAAATGCACACATTACGCACACATCATTGGCAATATCAAACTATCCTCTTGTCTGATCTCTTCGTTTCACACTTTTACTATGCTTACAAAATCCAATGATGGCTTTTGAGTTCTTTAACTGTCACCTTTATTCTTTATATTTGGATTTAACGCAAAATCAATGTGAACACCAGCTTTTGATACATTCAGAGTGATTATAGTTATATTTTGTTAAACGCTGGTCAACTGTTATAATTACCACATAACCAGCTTTGTCATATTCATGGTTATTTCATTCAGAATGTTGAAGAAGTCCAGCATAGCACGTCCAGACTCGCCCATCCTATTTAGCATCACACCAAACACCGCAAAAAACATCAGGATCCCTATACAAATGTATAAACCAGACTTTCTGCAGCACAGTCATTGATCAGTAGCATACACTATCAACACTATCAACAGCATCAGAATGCACTATATAATTTATACCTTAATATGTTGATGACATAATTACTAAAGTAAGCAGGTTCTGAAAGGCATCCAGCAAGGGCATTATGACCTATCCATAAACTTGATGTATATTGTATACATGTTGTTTAAATTATTGTACATATTTCTGAATTTGTTTGCAAGTTTTAAGAAATAGTTGAATATGGTAAGCGTGAGTAAGTAACAAATTAACGTTACGTCGACAATATTTCAACCATATAACGACCAGTCATTCATAAGACTGTCTTTATAATTCAAACATTCTATACAATCGTTAAACTATAGACCTACTTTATTACATGTATGATGCAACCTCGTTTGTATGTATCTTACCTTCGGTCCCTCACTTACCTAAGACATTCATGCCGTCTTGGTAGTTTATGGATTTCTGCCAAATATACCCACCATATTTGAAGTTGTTTGAACTGTGATTAGTCTGTGATACCAATGTTTCACTAGTGTTCACAGGCTCAGCCATGTTTTTGGTAAATTTTGTTTTGGAGTGTTGGAATGAAGCTTGCATGATGTTTTCGGGGACGATATTTCTGTAAAACAAACATTCATTTGTTACATCATACTTGCATAGTCCAACTTATGCAAGAGCGATAGGGAAACTTTACAAAATATTGGAGCCAAAGAGTGAATGTGTGAATCGTTTGGGATTTTTTTTATAAAAGAGACATTATAATAAACATCAAAAGAAGGCTCACCGCAATAGGTCTAATATGGCATCCGTGGTTACTGGTAATGGCTTGTCAAAGACTCTGTCGGGACTTTGGTCAGCTTTGGTAACCTCCCCAGGTCGTATACTGACAGCCAGTCCGATTCCGAGGACAGTTGCAATAATAGTGGTGCAGATGTAATACCCCAACGCCATGATTCCTAACTTTCCACCTGACTTGTTTAGATTTGCCACACCTGTTAAACATTGGTTAGATATAAATGTTCAGAGGACAGGTAACAGATGTTACATTTACAAATACTCATACTTTGCTGCAGTACGTTTGGCAATTTGCATTTATTTATTTTCAAATTCTAATGTATGGATACCATTCTTTTTAATAATCCATGTTCATCGTTGCCCTTTAGTGTTTCCTACCCACTATGACAGGTGGCAGCTAGCCTGACAATATGTAAATAGAAAGTTGTCCTTTGAGATCCATGAGATCCTTTGCCAACAGGGGGTATTTCCTATTTACGAATTTGGTGTCAAGGACATATCAGCCATGATCCCTCCATGACTGTACCGCAGTAGAAGATGTATTTACAGAATCGTGGTTTAATTTTTACACGATTCATTCATTCTGAATTGGTCACGTCATAGCGTTTCACCTTTACGCGTCCCTAACACTATGGCATATGAACGATTTCCCTTTCCGCACACTTAAATCGGCATATATTTAACAGAAGCCACATTATGACAGAAGAAGGCTTCTTGGTTTCAAAACCGTCTTTTGTTTCCTGAGATGCATATCAACCACGTGAATTGTGTTTATGCCTCTAATACCATTGGAGTTTTCAAGGTATTTCTAAACTCATTGAGTTTGTAAACACCTGTCTAAAAAGTCGAATAGTGATCTTGCACAAAGGCCTTTGATTTAAGTTGAAGGTCGATATTTAACTTTATATTGGTCCCCCTGGCCAACACATACCATTTAAATCCCCCTGTCCTCTAAGGCTTATAACTGATAGTGAATACTATCCACGTGAGTTTTACTTTGCCTTTGCCATACAAAAATAATGTTAGAAAGTATTGAAATATATCACTGCTTCAGAACAAAAACAATTGCATACAATGAAGCTATGTTTGCAAACATTTAGATATACACATGTTGACATAATTTCAGATCGGATGGGAGCTTGTAGGCATATAGCTGCATCTCTGTTTGACCAGAATGCCTGCCTCGTACATTGCCACTTTCGTGATATCCACGGAAATGGGTATAGAAGTGACAAACATAAAAACATTTTAAGGTCGAACCAGGATTCTAACCAATGATATTGGTTTTGGGTGATCATACTAAACATGTCCAAGTGATGCAGGTCTCCACAGCGAATTGAGGCGCCACTGTGACACCAGTGACCACAGCAGTAAAAACTGAAAACGTCGACTTTGTCACACTTAGATGGTTTAAATATGCTATTTGACAAGACAAGAATGATCTTTAAGATCTTCATCTGAAACCCATGTTGTCACTGAGACATTCGTATTTGATATCCATTAAATTTGTATCCATTAAATTCGGTATTTCACCGTAAAGTAAACATGTACTTTTTGTTATTTCCATTGCATATACTCACCCAAATTGAAAACTTCACAATCCTAAAATTTAACATTTTGACCAGTTATCAGTGTGGGCCCTTACTGGGTATTTAAACAGTAATGGCCACGTATTGTCTTTAGATACCCGTTTTTAGTGCAGGTGAATCGATTAAAATCATGTGCAAAGCACTATAGTGGCAAAAGTGTTTTTTCACGTGCAACTGGTCACGTGGCTATAATACCGTAAGTGTTTTCAGCCATACTTGTTAGCAGTCATTTAAAAAAAGAGAAAAACACAAGACAACAAAAGTCTTTACGGACATTTGTAATGCCACGGCTTTCAAATGGGCAACGTGAATGTGCCATCGGCATGTTGCAGACGGGAACGTCCGTAGCTGAAGTCGCAAGGATGGGTTTTAGTCGACTGACTGTGATTTACAGACGCGTCTACACCGCTGATCGCCCTCGGCCAGGTCGACCTCGTGTGCCGTCACAGGCAGAGGATCGTCAGATTGTCTTACGTCACCTCTGTAACCGATTTTTGATGGCTAAATCAACCAGAAATGAACTGTTTAGGGGTAGACTGAGTGCGCAAACTGTTTGAAACCATCTGAGAACTGCTCACCTTCAAGCACGACGGCCACACTGCGGGTCGCCTTCAATCGTCTTGAATCCCGATTTAATCTTCGATTTGCTGATGTTAGGGCGAGGGTGTAGGGGCGCCGTCATGAACGTTACGCCAAGTGTTGTGTACAGGAAGTTGACAGATTTCGAAGCGGAAGTGTCATGGTGTGGGGTGCTTTCTGTAGCAATGCAGGTTCCAGGCTTCTTGTCATCAGTGGCAACCTCAACGCTGCTGCGCGACCAGGTACTGGCACCAGAACTTCTGCCTTTTATGGCAGCACAAGTACCCGGTTTGATCTTCCAACACGATAATGCCAGACCCCACACAGCAATATTGACAAGGAATTTCCTTCAGAATGCGGGAGTCAACGTCATGGACTGGCCGTCAAGGTCTCCCGACCTCAATCCCATCGAACACATCTGGGATGCTCTTGGCAGAAGTCTGCGCACTCTCCAGAACCAACCACAGAATTTGCAAGATCTTGGCACCATTTTGTCGGCTTACCAGTCATGTGTTCACAAGCATCACAAGGTCCATGAGGTGCTGTCTGGCGGTTGTCAACACACATGCTGGCCATACACGCTATTCATTTGTCCGCTGTATATCATATATGGGATTACTTTTAAAAATGTGAAGTTTTTAATTTGACTATATTTTTATATTAGATGAATTCTGTATTGGCTTCACTGACCTGTGACCATACTGGAGGTGACGAGAGGCAGCAATAACATCTTGAACATGCGCATCAGCAGGTCCCCTGGGACACCGATAAGGCTGACAGTGTCTTGGGTGGGTTCTAGCCGACGAGTAAGCATTCCGAGAATCACTCCAAGGACCACTGATGTGATGGTTGTTATCAGGAGCAAGTTGGTTTTCAGACAACATCGGAGCTGAAAATACCGACACATGGTAGAAGTGATGTTGCTCCATTCTATCCATGAACGTTGTGGTCATCATCTTGTGTGGTTTCAGAGTTCTATTTTGAGATGTTAGTTATTTCACAAAATATTATCAACATTTTGGTGCAGAATAAGCACAGCAAATGTATCGCCAACTCCACCATTACAACGAATTTTCATCTGCTCAATGTAATACAACACATTTAGAAAAAGTCAAACAGTTGACAGTGCGTTTTAACATAATTTGACTACCTTTCTTTTCCAGTTTATGTGTGAAGCCCATTTCTAGTGTTCCCCGCCATTGTAAATTGCTGAAATATTGCTAAAAGCAGCGTAAAACCGAACTCACTCTCTTCCAGTTTGATGAGTTGTTATCTGCTCTGAAGACTTTCATCTGAGTGGCATCGTCTGTGCTCGTCGCTGTGTACATTTCATAGAGTTGTCTTTGCCTTTCAATAAAATGTGGATAAATCAATTTAATTCAGGGAAAGCAGCATTTTTTTCATAAGTGATAAGATGTTAGTGTTGAAACCTTTCGACTACTAATTCACGAATACTGTCATCAAATGGAAGGGAATATCCACGAATGAATTGGAGTGAGTGAATTTGGTTTGAGGCCACTCTGTATCCATGTGTGACAACAGGTCTGACAAGTATGTTCATGTTGGAAATAGGTGGATCATAAAAATCAAGTATTTGGCCAAACAGAATTAATACCCAGAGAAAAACAGTGTGTCAAAGGTTTTGTCATGGTCACTGTGTGTGCATTTTAAAAGAAATATGACACAATCTTCTCAGCTGATTATTAGTAGACTAAAATAATGGGTAAAAAACATTAATCAGACAAGGCAGTCTTCTGACCAACGGTACATTTTGGACATTATCCTTTTGTGTGACTTGGGTCTGTTTATGGCTACGTCAACTTCCATTAGAGAAATCATTTGAGCTTGTTTCCGTATATTGGCCTAGAACGGGAAAACGACGGAAAATTCATTAAAATTGATTAATTGGTGAGCTTCCGAAAAAGCGTCGATTTTTAGACGGATATACAATGTACAAATGATCATGGCAAATCGCATTGCTCTGGTTTCTGAAAGACATAATGCCCAAGGCTTCCTTCAGGTTTTGTGTTTCTGGCTGGTGTGGCATACCTTTCTCTAAGATCTGTCCCACGTAGTGCAGAGTGATTTGCTTATAAATCGGTTTTAAGATGTGGTACGTGTTAGTGGAATTCAGACACCCAGCAAGAAGACACATTTCCCTCCACTATGTACCTGGAATATTGTTGAGTACCAAGTGAAACAACACAAACACTGCTTCCAACCTGGATTGCAGTAGACATTTGGACCACAATTTTGGACCACACGCATTGACACCAACTCACTGACTCTGTTCGATATATATATATATATAGCTGTGAGGTGGCATATATTATTTTCAAGGAAGAGGGATAAAGAAGCAGAATAAAGGATCACACTGTTTCTACTTAAGACATCCATTGGCCATGTTAGATGATGTAGCCAAAAGCAAGCTGCTGAAACGGTAAGCAGCTCCGAATGGCCAAACTGAACTTATTCTGTGATAACCTAAGTCAGCTCAGTTACATTCATCACACAACAGGCTAATAGTGCTTGATAGTGCGTGACCAAGTACATGTTCATTGGACTAACGTTTATCCTTGTCAGTTTAATTAATAATGAGTAGGCGATAGTGTAACTGGGCATAGACAATATCTACGATATTCTTACTTAATACATTATGGGTAATATATGTTGTGTCCCACGTGGGACCCAGCAAAATGCTTGACCAGTTCTCCTTCACCTCTAAATACAAGTGAAGCCCACGTGTACATGCTGTCGGGGTCATTATCGTTGTAAGGACATCAGACAATTGACTATTCGGTGTTCTTATTTGAGCTGTAAGGGTACTATCGGTTGTCTATAGATTAACGCTGGGTCTGATAAAATATATACTTTTGAAAGACACAAATAACTCCATTAAGAATTAAAATGAAGCCCCAGTGAGATGAGAGATTCAGATCTCAACCTGCGAAAAACCTAGACTTCAATTGCTTTCAGATATTTAATATGATATGATTTGATTTAGATGGTGTCACAGAAGGAGGTAAAGGTTCAGAAGTCTGTACAGCTGTTATGGGATCAACAGTCTGGGTAGAAGATTCAGAAGGTAAGAGGATCTCGGGACTGATAGAACTGACCCATGTCAAATCGATTAATTTTTTATTTTATAACTGTGGGTGTTTTAGTAAGTGACGCATAGGCTTCATGCTGGTCAGTATTTGGAACGTTTTTTTTTTGCTGTGTATGTGATGTTTGTGGTACATTTTATTGTGCTGATTTCATTTTTTTTTCAAACTGTCCATTTCTTACTGTATAAAGGATGAGCTCCAGAAGAGTTTTTAAAGTTTTTGAAATCACTGTTCCAGTCCCCAGTGGCATGAGAAGTTTCACTACAATGTGCACATGTGATTTGTATGTGCAGCAATATATCCCATGGTCAAATTGCTTAAATTTCAAACATCTCAATGGGTTTGGGATGAACAACTGTACATCAATTTTACAGTAGTCTGCTTTTACTGTTTTTGTGCTGCCGGTGAAGAAAAGGAAAACAGGTATGTATTTGTTTGGATTGTTTCGATACCGTGGCACCTGGTAAATCTTTCCACAAATGTAACCCCTTGCATTTTCATTTCAGATGCTAAATCCAGTTCTGTCATATCTTCAAAAAATGGATTGCGATCTCTGATGATGCCTCTGCCTGTGGGTTCTGTTTGGAGATACATTTACTGTAACTCCAACGAGTGCATCGATTGACATCAGGTTTGTTACTTGTTGCCATTTTGCACATTCAATAGGTAATGATCCTGTTCTCAATCTTTTGATAGTTTTAACGTCACTCGCTTTTCCATAGATGCCCTTAGTAATTGCAAAAGGGTTAAATTTAATCAGGGTCTTGTGGGGTGTTTCAATGTTTTAATCTCCAAGAATCTTGGCAAGTACTCTACTGATTTTAACTAAAGTTAAACATATAAAGAAGACGTTTCATTTATTCTCGTTGAAGGGTGCTGAATATGAAGGTACACGTCTTGATGCTGCCACAAAGAACATCACCATTGGAAGACTGCAGGCTGGAGAGTCCCAATCTTCTGTTGCCAACGTCTGAATGTTCGCAAAAGCACAATATCACGGCTTGCAGCTCGCTACAACCAAACAGGCACAACAAATGACCGTCCCCGTACAGGAAAACCTATAGTCACCACAACAGCCCAGGAGCTCTACATCCGGGTACTCCATTTGCGTGACTGTACTGCTACGGGTGAGAGCACTGCAGCCAGGGTGCCAGGACTTAAGAGGATATCAAGCCAGACTGTACGGAACAGGCTGAGAGAACATGGACTGAGAGCCAGGAGACCCTACGTCGGGAACGTGCTACGTCGTCATCATCGTGCTCATCGTCTCCGTTGGTGTAACATGTGACTGCCTGGAACCTTCGCAACTGGCGACGCATTTGGTTTAGCGATGAGTCCAAATTCCTGTTGCAGAGACGTGAGGGTAGGAACCGGGTCTACAGACATGTTCAAGAACGTTATGACTCTAACTGCATGCGTCAAGTGGACAGATTTGGTGGAGGGAGTGTGATGATATGGGCGGCAATATCCTACACTGATCATACCGATCTTGTCCACGTCCAGGGAAACCTGACGGCTATACGCTACAGAGACACCATCCTGCTACCACACCTCCTGCCAGCCATTGCCGTCCAACGTGAGATTTTTCAGCAGGACAACGCCCGGCCCCAAATGGCACGTGTCACAATGACCTTTCTCGCTCTCGATGCATGTATATTTCTGATAACACAGTTGTTTATAGTGCTTCCATGCTTTAGTGTTTGCAAGGCGATCAGAGGTATTGTTAGTGTCATGAAACGCACGAAGTTTTTGTCTGGCACGACGTGCTTGGTGACCTTCCGAATCCCACCAGTTATGTCCCGTGTTTTCTTTGGCTTGGTTCGTGTTTGATCTGAAGTTCCATGAAAAAGTTAATAGCAGGACTTCAAGCTGACTACATGATTCTCTGACACGCCCACAGCAAACGCCTGAATTTCTTTAGGTCTTTAGTTGTTTAGATTTTATACATTTATGAATATTTGGTTAAAGAAGGTCTTTAAAGATGACCGCCGAATCGAATATGTCCGACATGGATTAAAACTTCTCCACAACATATAGATGCACAAAGGGTGCACGAAATGGTATTTCATAGATCGTATAAATATAAGCGATAAAACCCTTTCCATATTCATAACAAATCTCAGACATAAGCACTTGAATTAGTTGTCTGATCAGAAATTGGTGAATCTACAAAGTTTGAAATGGCCGTCAAATACAATACCGCAATGAGATATTCAACAAGATAGAAATAAAAAGAGTGACATTAGTAACAAAGTAACATTATCAAAGCCCTTGTCACATTCAACGCATCTGACATAGTTGACAGTATTTTCCTTACGAGGTTTATCCGATCCTACTAGTTCCACGTGTTAGAAACAGTACATGGTGGCCATGTAGCACATACAGAATACAACCACAATGATCAAACATTTCATCCAGAGTTGTACGTTGAACAACTCATATCTCTGTCATCTAAGTTCAGTTGCAACTGTCGACACATGTGATTACACGACATAGCATCCCAATGCATCTAAAAAAAAAACATAAACCAATCACACATTAACCTGTATCTTGTTGGAGCACATACATTATCAATTCGAGAAAATTAACAAAAAAGGTGTTCAATAAAGCTGAACAAGACAATAATTAACTCCCCGTGGCAAACAAAAATCAGAAATTCAACCAAATTACCTATAGGAGTATCCAAATAGAAGCACTGGGAAACTTTTACCAGTACTTTGAAAATAGGTAAACAAAATTAGAAAATTCTTAGGATAAATATGTGACCATTAAATGCAATTCTAAATCAAACTCCTCCCCGAATATAATATTCACAAACAAAGATAAAGCTAACAAACAACCGGCTAAAATTCTAAATTTCTACTAAGGGAGGACCAGAGCGACCTTCCCCAAATCGCCAAACTTTAGACCACATTTTACATTTAGAACATGACATTAAGACAGCACAAGCACAAAAACAATACATACTGGCAATTTTTACTGATCAGTTAAGGGTTTGATATGGTTTGGCATAACGGCCTTATTAAAAAAAATCGGGATAAAGCCATAGATGGAAGAATTCTAAATTTCATTCATTGATGATATTTCCCAAAAGTTCCACAAAACACATCCACAGCTCAATTCGCCGAAGACGCTTCAATCTGGACTTCATTAACCTCAATTAAAGAAATTGCAAAAAACAATGCAGCCCATATTAACTGACATCCAATATTGGGCTTCCC